GCAGTGACTGCCCTTCCCAAAAGCCCCTGTGGTGCTGCCACCCCGGAGTCCAGAAAGGGATTTGGAGAGGACATGGAAAAGTTGGAACCTTGGACATTGTGGGCAGCAAGGCGCAGGGTGCAGCTGCCTGGCAGACAGTGCAGACAGTGCTCAAAACCCTAAGTTACCCACCCAAGAGCGCTCTGTGCTTCAGCAATGCCACGCTGCGTGTTTACCCAGGAGAGCCAGCGCAGGGTCACGGAGCCAATACCACTCCACATCCGCTGCAGCCCCGGTCACAGCTGCTGAGGTGCAGGACAGTCCCGGTCCGTGGAGGAGGAGCGGAAGAGGAGGAGATGGTGCGCACCTCAGCGTGGCACGTGCCGCGCTGCCTCTTGGGGAGGGGACTCTGCTGAGCACCACAGCGTGGATACAGCTGGAGGAGCAGGACACCGGGGCACTGGGGAAGGACTCCCTCACAGAGACACAAACACGCACACTTCCACTCACGTTAGCTACTTCAGACAGCCAGATTCTTGGAATCCAGGGTGACATGGGGTGCCAGGAGCAGAGGGCGGGGGGCAGGGCACAGCATTTCAGCTGAGGAAGAGAAGGGCTTCCAGAGATCTGCAGTAGCACTGCGTCACACGTGCAAGGCTTTGACCTGAGGGGGAAACTCATCTTGAGGGTCCTAACCTAAAGGAAACAGCAAGTCCTGCAGGGAGGATGGGGTGCAGCAGGAGGGTTTGGTCTAGCTCGCTGAGGCCCTGGCCACATCCCAGCCCCCCAAATCACCGACTGGGTGTTGGAGGTGGGGTGGGCTCACAGCCCGCTTGTGCTGCTGGGGGAAGTGGTCAGCCTCAGGTTTGCCCTGGACGGTGCATGGTGTGCAAGGCCGCGTGCACCTCGAGCTCCTGGGTTCTTGGGCTCATTGAGTGGAGGGCCACTGAGGATGGAGGAGTGGGCTTCCCACCTTCCTTTTCCCATCTGACATCGGGACGTCTGCTGTCGTCACCTTCAGTCAGGTTACGAGCGTCCTTTCTCTTTAGTGAGACAGAGGCAGCAAGGGGGCTGGTATCTGAGCCCTTGCTTGTGGCTGTCTTAGAAAAAGCTTCTGGGGCCACATTCGAGGTCTTGACATGCCCACTTCTCATGGGACCTCAGCTTCCCACCCTCACTCCCTGGCCTCTCTTCCCCCACTTCTTATGTGCTTGCTTTCTCTCTGGCCTCTTCTCCGCAGATGGCTGTGGCTGACCGCCACTCTTCCTGGCCCACAGAGAATGGTGCCCACTGACCGTGCCACTCCTCCTATGACCCGAGGTGGCTTCACAAGCCTTTGCGGCACAGGAGTTTACCAACTAGTGCCGATGCCTGGGAGAGAACTATTTATCGCCAGGGTCAACCCCATGCCATGTTCTCTCCCCACCCAAAAGGCCTGACCTTGTGTGTCTGCACTCTTGGTGACCCTCTGCCCATGCTGGGTCCGCCCCGTTAGGGCAGCTTGGGATCCCAGCTCGGTTAGCTTGGGATCCCTCTGGGACACTCCTGGGGAGTGTCCGAGTGGCCATGGAGATGTGGCCTTGGGGGGGTCAGTGTCCCTGGCCCCTTACTGTCTGGCACTGTCCCCTGCTCTGCTTCCTGGATGCCACGACCTAAGCAGCTTTGCTCCACTCTCCCCTTCCGCCACGGTCTCCTGCCTTGCCACCAGCTGACCATGGACAGAAGCGATGAGCACGTTAAATCTCCTCCTCCCAGCTGGGCGGCGGGTAGCATGTCTCAGCAAGGAGAAGCCCTAGAGAGCTCATGTTCCCCCCACTCTGAGGCAAGAGCTCTCACCCAGTACACTTGATACTGAGTGCTTTGCATGGGAATTTATGCCACAACAGATGTGTGTTCTCGGCTTCCCAATGTTCTGTATTTGTTCTTCATCAGTGCCCTCTGCCTTCCCAGAGCTGCCGGCCAGTGTGCGCCCTGCTGGCAGCCCCGGACCTCTCACCTCTGCCCCAGGCTGCCTACCACCGTTCATTCCCTGGGACAGGGACAGCAGCTCCCTCGCCCGTCCCTCGTCCCTGGCTGCCTGCATGCCCTGGGCTTCCCACGCCTCTCTGAGAGCTGCGCCCTTGCTCGGCTGCAGGGCTGTGTCCCTCTCTTCCTCCTGCCATGGCCGCTGTCCCTCATCCTTTCCACCCAGGGGATGCCGTGGTCTTCCCACTGCGGCCACTGCCCCGCACTTGCTCATAGTTGTCCTCTCCCTCTACTGCAGTTTTCATCCTGGACCAGCACAAGGGTGAGAGAAGATTCGGCATCCGTGTAGGCAGTCGATGGACGCCCCTCCCAGCGCCGTGATGCGGCCGGCTGTGAAAGTCCTTTCTCTGAACTTCTCTCTGTGAGTCACATTTGTCATTTCTGTCGCTGGTTTTACCCATCTATACAGTGTCACTGCTCCTTCAGACTGCAGGTCCTCTGTTTCCTAGAGTCAGAGTAACTCTGTGTCCCCCGAAGCATCTCGTGTCATAGGCACTGCGGCTTGGCTGACTATTTGTTGAGTGAATAACATGAATAGTTATCTCTGGTGGCTCTGAGGAGTGAGCCCGCAGAGCACCAAACTCTACCCTTGCCCCATTTAAAAAGTTGCATTTTGTGCTGAGTTAGGCTCTCACTAAGTTGCCTTGGCTGCATTAAACTTGGGAGCCTGCCTCAGCCTCCCGAGTAGCTGAGATTACTACCACACTGGGCTGAATAATTCTTAGGTTGTCCTGATGTTATTTTCCTCAGAATAAGATTTCCACATTGTTGAATTGAACTGAGTTTCACCTGTTTTCACGGGTGTGCCTGAATATCTGCAGTACGCCTCAGAGCCGACTGGGTTGCAGGATGCGTGGGCAGTGTGGTGTGTGGAGTTGTGTAACACCATTTCAGCACAACGGACAAACGATGGGCGCAGTTCCCCTCTGCCTGCAATGTACCAGCCACGAGTCAGAGCTGGCTTGGGCTGCTCTCTTGGCTGCTGGGTGAGTTGGGCTCCTTTGGGTCTCATGGAGTGAGCGCTCCGCAGGGGCCTGAGTGCTGATGTGGGTTTGGGCTCCAGGTTCGCTCAGGCTGAGGCTCATGTTGCCTTCCTGCTTGAACTCTTCCTGCGTGGGTGGCATCTGGTGCCCACCATGCAGTGTCCCCGTGGGGACAGTGGCTGTCCTGGTGGCAGTGACAGTGGCTGTCTGTCAGTTGATTGTGCACGAGGCCCATCCTCCCAGGCTCCCTCCTATGGGCTGTTACCTTGTGCCCAGCCAGGGGGCAGCATGCCTTCCCTCCCAAGCATGGGCATCAAGGCCGAGTCCCTGCCTGGTGCAGAGAAGCACTTAGCTGCCGTTGCAGTGGCCGTCTTGCTGTGTCCAGTGACAGCTGTAGGACAGCCAGTGCCTTAGCTGCTTGGTTCTTCTGTGGCAGAGGCTGCCGGTCATCCCTCACTCCTCCTCTGTTCATGAGCTGCTAGGAGGAGGTTACGAGCGTGGTCTGGACTTGGATAATGATGTGTTTTAGGTCTCATTCAGCCCAGCTGGGGAGGAGCCTGTGGGCAAGCTCCTCCCTCGCCCCAGGCCTTCTTACCTGTGCAGTGGAGGTGCCAGGGGGCCAGCAGCTACACTGGCGGCCAAGGCCATGGCACCGTGTTGGATTGCTGCGGACATAGCAACTGCTCGATAAAAATAAAAATTTTGCCAGTGTGTGTTGGGTGGAGTGGATCCAGTTCAGAACTTGGCTAGGAAATCCTGTCTTGAATTTTCAAGCACAGGCCGAGATCTCAGTTCTACTCCAGTCCCGCCGTGTAAGAGCCGCTTTGTGAGCGTTTGTGTCTTTCTTTGTAATGTGGGGTGTGGTGGACTGACAGTTGGTGGTCAGCTTGTAACACCCAGCTGAACTGAGTAAGCGTGGTGCTGGGTGTGGGAGGCCCACCTGGGGATTGTTGCCAGCAGCATAACAGGCAGAACTGGAGAAGAAGGAGGAAGGCTGTTGGGAGCTGGAAGAAGCTGTTGGGAGCCTGTTGGAAGCTGTTGAGAAGCTGTACGGAGCAGTTGTTGATTCTCTTGGAGGAGCTTGTCATGCTGGCTTTCCTGATGAACTCAGCTGTTTTCATCCTCCAAGGAGCTTAGAACCTTTTTGACGCTGACAATACCTTCAGTTCACTTTCAGGGAGCTCTGGTCCTCACTTTGAGCATTGCTTCCTGGCTCCGGAGGGGAAGAAGGTACACAGCTGTCTCCTGGGGGAGCTTGTCGCGTTGGCTTTCCTGTTGGGAACTCGGCTGTCCTCACCTTCGGAGGAGCTCAGGATCTCACTGTCACTGAGGATACCCCTGGCGCTTTTCAGGGGAGCTCCGGTTCTTACTTAACATCACTTTCTGGCTCCAGTGCAGATCCCTCAGCCTGCTAGCACAGATCCTCCATCCCGCCGGCACAGACTTTGTAGCTTCCACTATTGACCTCTGGGTCTTCCCAGTGCAGATCCATGGAACAGGCTTGCATGAGGCATTGTTATGAGCTGTAGGTCTTCAGCTGGACTCATGCAGGACGTTATCATGGGATACAGGCCCTCAGCTGGATTCTTTAGTCTTTGGTGTGTGGACAGATTTCCTGTACTCCCTTATACATGATTCTTTGGGTGACTATTATAAATAATCTTATAAAATATGTGTCCTGTATTATATTGTTTTCCTTGCAATGTCCCCTGAACCACAACACAGGGAAATGGTGCATCCCTGTGGGGCAGAGGTGCAGATCAGAAAGAATCACCACACAAGGCCCAGCCTGCTCTGGCTGTGGGTCCAGGACGCAGCTGCTGCATGACCTGGCTCCGGCTTCCTGGGCGGTTTGCAGTGAGGGAGAGGGGTGAGGGGCAGCAGACAACCTGGCCCCCTAGAAATTCTTTTCTAATGCTCCGATGAGCTCACAGTGGCTGTCTCATCTGACTTCCTCTTCCTTGCTTTCCTGTCTGGTTGGTGCTCAGCGGGCTGCAGGCCATGGCTGTCACGAGTGGGTCAGCTCATTTTATTTCCCTTCAGTCCCGGCTAATGAAAAGCACTTGTGTCCAGTAAACCCTTCCTTTGCTGCTTGTTAGCACACTCCGTGTTGGCTACTGAGGTCTGCTCCAAGGTGGGTGAGAACCAGCGAGATGTCCACAGCATCGCTGGCCCTGGCTGGCTGTTTCTCGGTCTGGGACCCGTAGAGACCCAAAGGTGTGTCAGGCCCTTGGAGCCCACTTCCCCCTCTCCCCTGTCCCTGCCTGTCTCAGCGTGCTGTGTATCCTTTGGATCAGCCTGCTGCCTGCCTGGCCTGGGCTATGCTTCTAGAATGTTTTCCCTGATGTGAAGACCCTGGCCCTCAGGACTCTGGGCCACTGATAATACCAGGTTGGACATGGTCTTGTTTGCTGTATGCAGTGGCTTCAGATGACAACACCCCATCCCTATTGCTCCAAACCTCACACCTCAGTGTCCAGATCCCAGGTAGGTGACGATGGTTGATAACACTGTGTTCTACAGCTTACAGAGAACTAGAAGGAAGGAGTTTGAGGCTGCCAAGACAGAGAAATGAAAGGTGCTGAAGGAGGTGGGAACACTGACCACCTCGAGGTGGGCATCACACACTACATGCATGTTTCCAGTGATCACACTGTATCCCATAAATGGGGGCCATTCTTATGGCAACAGAACAACCACAGATTCTGATCTAGCTTTGGGGGAACCTCCTGCAGCTCACAAAGGCCAGTCCTCTGACCCAGGGACACTTGAACACAGGTGCCCTGGGCATGCTGGCTGTGCTTGGGTCTTGCACCGAGTGCCCCCAGCCTCCAGTTCCTGGGGAGCCGGGCTGTGGCCCCATTGTCCCTGCATCGAGCGGGTACACGAGGCCTACTGTATAGAAGAGCTCAGTGGACTTACTGCAAGGAGGGAAGGAGGCCGAGGGAGGAGGGGGAGAAGGAAGCACAGAGGAAGGCGGGAGGGAGGAGCACTCCACACAGCCCGAGTCAGCGTGGGTTCAAGTCTTGGTGTGGCCAGTGGTTGCTGAGTGGCCTTAGGTAAGAAATACGTGCTGTTTCAGCCTGATTTTCTTGCCTCCATGGGGTGGGGAATCTGCAGTCCCTGGCAGCTCGAACATTTTCTTGTCCACGCCTCCAAGTTATGATTCTCAACGCTTTCAAGCCACTCCCACTTTGCGTAGAGGAAACTTTGAAATCCCTTTGTGCTAATGTGAGATGAAAAGCTCTGCTAGTATCTTATTTCCATTTAGAACAGCTAATGCTCACTGTGCTGTGAAGGGAAAATGCAGTGGAGATACTTTATGCAAAATCATGTGTTCCTGCCTGGGAAAGTGGGGCAGGAAGGAGTGGGACGCTCGTGCGACTACTGAGTCATGCTGGATGATGTGACAGTCACAGTGCCCTGACACCTCTGGAAGTGTTACGTCCATCAGTGAAACCCTTACACCACGAGCCTTACACCATATATAACTGTTTCTAACGTTAAAGTTCTAGGTGGGCAGCAGCATGCAGTAAGCACATTCTAGTAAACTCAGGATGTGCGAACACTGGTAGGTTTTAAGCTCGGAGCGTCAGAACCAGGCACTGAGGACAGCTGATGGGGCCCTCATGCCTCTCAGGGGAGCAGGAAGACTCTTTGAGGCACAGCACTGTCCCTGACATTGAGGACCTATGGGGTCTGTGGGCCCTGGCCACCACGAACCAGAATGGCCTCCAATCGTCACGTCAACCAGACCCTCCCCACCCAGCAAAGGACTGCCCGTGGAGTGGCGCTTCTCTGCCTGGGATGTGTGCTGTGCGCTCTAAAGTGCATGTGCAGGGCTGGCTCTAAGGGGCATCCTCTGGGCCTTTGCACAGCTGCCTGCTCCCAGGGGGCTGGGCGCCTGATCGGATGCCCTGTGATCACAGTCTTGGATTTCTGAGTGATTTCCAGCAAGGGGGCCTGCGTTCTGTTGTGCACCTGGAAATTCTGCCGTGGTCTTGGCTGTACCCTGACAGGGGCCCGCATCCCCCAACCTCTAAGAGACGTTCTGTGCCCACATGGCTGTCTTGCTTTGCATACTAGCACTTTCTTTTCATTAAGCCAGTTATCCTCAACTATTTTCATTTCTCGACAGATCAAGTGGCTCATTTATCACACTAACATATACTGAGCTTCTCTTGTACACCAGGAAGACCTGGGTTCTAGTCCTGAAAGAGCTCACAAGCTTTTGGATTCTTACTTTACCATGGCTTTATCAGCAATAACTGTCCTCGCTTTTATGCAGAATAACTGTGAACCCAAAAAGATGCTATTATACCCCACTACTAAACTGAGCATTTTGTTTTCATGCCTCTCAATGTCTTTGGAGAGAAATTTTCTCCTTTTTTCAGTAAGAGATCATGAAACACGATTTCTTTTCCATACTGGGGCTTGAACCTGGGCCTCATGCACGTCAGGCCAGTGTTCTGCCAACAAGCTGTGTCCTCAGCCCTTTTCCCCTTATTTTATTTTGAGACAGGAGCCTGTGTACTTGTCGAGGCTGACCTTGAATTTGCAGTCCTTCTGCTTCAGCCTCTAAGGTAGCTGGCATGATGGGAATGGGCCACCATGCCTGGCTACTCTGAAGTATCCAACAGATGGCAAATATAGCCAGCCCTCCATACCTGTGGGTTTTCTACCCATGCATTGATTCAACTCACCATGGATGGAAAATATTTGGAAAAAAATTTTTTGAAAGCGAAATAGGCAAATTTTTGAAAGCAAAATAGCAAAATAGGCAAGTGCTCACTGAATCTTAACAAAGAAGGAAAGAAACACAAATCAAATGTAATTAGAAATAAAAAAGGTGAAATCACCGTGGACACTGCCGAAATACAAGATTTTTAGCAACCACTTCATAAACCTGTATGCCAAAAAATTGAGAACTCACAAGAACTTATCTATCAGGAGATTCCTAGATGCATACAAATTGCAAAACTGAACTAAGAAGACTAAAATATCCTGAATAATCCAATAACAGGCAAAGAAATTGAAACAGTAATAAAAACCAACTGAGAAAAGCCCAGGATCTGGTGGATTCTCTGCCAAATTTTGCAAAAACTTTAGGGAAGATCTAATACCACTACTCCTCAATCTCTTTAATGAAATTGAAAAGGAAGTAGTATTACTCCCAAAGTCATTCCTGGAACTTAGCAGTACCCTGATTCCAAAACTAGACTAGGACCAAACCAAAAAAAGGGAACTATAGGCCAATCTCTTTAATGAACATAGATGCAAAAGTCTTCAACAAGATATTGGCAAACAACATGCAATAAATCATCAAAAAGATCATAAATCATGATGAAGTAGGCTTCATCCTAGGAATGCAAGGATGGTTCAACATATATAAGTCAATAAATGTAGTCTATAACATAAACAGAAGCAAGGACAAAACCCCATGATCATCTCAGTAGGCACAGAAAAAGCCTTTGACAAACTCTGACATCCATTAATATAAAAACCCTGAAGAAAATAGTGATAGAAGAAACTTATCTAAATCAAAGAAAAAGCTATTTATGACAAACATACTGCAAACAACATATTAAATAGGAAAAAACTGCAGGCCTTCCCCCTAAATCAGGAACAAAATGAGGATGTCTACTATCACTACTCTTGTTTGATATAGTCCTAGAAGCACTAGCTAGAGAAAGAAATAAAAGAGATATGGATAAGAAAGGAGAAAGAAGTCAAAGTATCATTATTTGCAGATGATGTGAACCTTTACTTACAAGAGCCAAAAAGTTCCACCAAAAGACTTCTAGAATTAATAAGCAAAGTCAGCAATGTAGCAGAACATAAAATCAACACACAAAAATAAATACTATTCCTATACACTAATAATAAATTCATTGAGATGGAACTCAGTAAAACTATACCATTCATAATAGCATCAAGAAAATGATATACTATACTTAGGAATTAACCTGTCTAAGAAAGTGAAAGACCTTTACAATGAAAATTATCTCACTCTGAATAGAAAAAGATCAAAGAGGACATCAGAAAAGATATTCTCTGCTCCTGGATAGGCAGAAACAATATAGTCAAAATAGTCATATTATAAAAAAAAGATATACAGATTGAATGCTATCTGGGTCAAAATACCTATGGTGTTACTCACAGAACTAGAAAAGCAATCCCAAAATTCTTATGGAACCAGAAGAGACCCAGGACAACCAAAGCAATCCTGGGTAGGGGCTGGGGATTTAGCTCAGCGGCAAAAGCGCCTGCCTGGCAAGTGCAAGGTCGTGAGTTCGGTTCCCGGTACCGGAGAAAAACCAAAAAAAAAAAAAAATCCTGGGTAATAAAAGAAAAGCAGGAGGCATCATATCCCAGAGCTGAAGTTTTACTACAAAGCTACAGTGATAAAAACAGCATGGTACTGGCACAAAAAGAGACATGTGTGGATTGGTGCAACAGAATAAAGGATGCAGAAACAACCCCAGGCACATTTAGCCATCTAATCTATGACGAAAGGGCCAAAACCACACAGTGGAGGAAAGTTGGCCTCTTTAATAAATGGTGCTGGGAAAATCAGATATCCACAAGCAGTAGATTGAGTCTAGACCCATATATCTATCTCACATGTACTAAACTAAAATGAAAGTGGATGGAAGGTCTAAATGTTAAAAGAGAAATACTTAATCTTCTGGAAGGTAAAATAGGTAAAACTCTCTATGACATAGGCATAGGTAAGAGCTTTCTGAACAGCACCTCAGTGGCACAAGAAAAAACCAAGAACCAACAAATGGGCTCATATCAAATTTGAAATCTGCACAGCAAAGAAAACAACCAACAGAGTGAAGAGACAACCCACAGAATGGGAAAAATAATTGCCAGCTATTCTGCAGGCAGAGGGGTAACATGAAAAATAAGTAAAGAACTAAAAATATTAGACCTCCCCGAAAGACAAGACCTAATCCAAAAGTGGGCAACCAAAATGGACACTTTTCAGAGTGAGGGCAGATGGCCATAGCACTAACTACAAGAGAAATGCAAATTAAGACAACACCAAGATCCAGCTTATTCTAGAAAGAATGGTTGTAAATAATAAACAAAATTATAACAAAGGTTGGTGAAGCTGTGGGGGAAAAGGAACACTTCTACATTGTTGGTGGGAGTGTAAACTGGTATGACCACTATGGAAATCAGAAGGGAGATGCCTCAAAAACTAAAAACAGAAATTCCACTTGACCCAGATATTCCCCGCCTGGGTGTGTCCTCCAAAGAGGTAAAGTCATCATATTACAGCGATGCACGCACACCGTGTTTACAGGGCACAGTTCCTAACAGTGAAGTCTTGGAAGGGGCCCATATGACCACCGATGGATGAATGGATAAGGAAACACTGTATTTATATCTGCTGGGGTTCCACCCTGCCACAACGAGGGATAAACTTGTAGGTCGTCTCTGCACTCTGAACTCATGGGCTGTGGGCAGGGGTCGTGCCAAGCAGGCTCCTAACCCTGTGCTCTATGGGAAGGAACATTACACTTGGAATCTGGGTTCTTCCACTGTAGTAGCTTTCTGAAAATAGAATCAAGAAATACCAGATCCCTGTATGGACTGCTGGCTCCGTATAGTCTATACCCGAGAATTTAAGTCAGCATTTTAAACAACATCCAGGAGATGAAAGGTTTCACTTAGAGGCTGTGTGTGTGCAGCGGTGAAGGGCTGATGGCTCAGGTCCCAGTTTGACACTGGTGTGGCACGGAGGGTTTCAAGACTCAGGCACCTTGCATGCTGAGCATGGCTGTCCCTCACCACGCTGGTGTCACAGTAGCGAGGCCGTGTTCCCGGAAAGGGGGACGCGTGCTCAGGTCAGCGAACCAGAGGCTGCCGCAGACATTGCCGGCACTGTCAGAGGGAGCTGGGATGGGATGCAGCACCGAGGTTTAAGGGCTGAGCTCCCAGAAAACATGAGAAGACCCCGAGGCTGACTTGTAAGGGCCCTGGAGCAAGAAACGGGCCCTGCTGTGTCCAGCCCTGGGGCGAGGACAGGAAGGCGTGGGCCCCCTGCGCTGAACTCGCTCTGGAGCTTGCTGCACGCACTCACTCCTCAGCCTGCCCCCATCGGGTTGCTGACTCGGGAAAGCATTTCGCAACACGCTTCCCAGGTGATGTGTGGCTGCGCTGGAGGCTGAGGGTCGGCTCTTCCAGGAGGCATCGAGTAACCACGGTCTCCTGGGGCACAAGGCCCTCGTCTCGTTCCAGGATGTCCCCAGCACGCAGCTCCACCCACCAACTGCAGGACCTGCTCAGTGGACAGTTCTAAGCAGGCAAATGAAAGGGGCCATCTTCTGTTCACAGAGTTCAGGTATATCTTTCATAGTTCCTTTTATTTTGATAATAGAGCTACCGACTCCAGTTCTTCAGTAAATCCATTTGGTGCTTTAAGGAATCTTGCCTTTCAGACCTTTGCAGAGTATTGTGTGGGTCTGTCAGGCAGGCGCATTTTCCTGACCATTACTGAGAGGCGCTGACCCGGCGGGATGGCGGGATGGCCCTGCAGGCAGAGCATCCTTTTCAGGACTTTAAGTTTGTTTCTGCCCCCTGTGTGCTGCACATCTAGACAGGACTTTGGAGAAGCCACATGGACCTGAGAGAATCTGGAGACTGAGCTCAACGCCGCATCACAGCGCGGTGGTCTGAGCATCTTTCAACCCTTCCCTCCGAAGGCACCGAAGCCCATGCTGAAGCTGCAACCTGACCCGGGGCCCTGCTTCCCAGACAGAGGTTTGTTCATACAATGCACTCGGGCCCTTCTTCTCAAGTTCTTCCTCCCCGTCCCATGAGAGAAAGGGATCATTCATATCGACAAAGGGCCCGGGGTGCCTTGGACGGGGCCCATTGTGAGGTTTGGCATTGCCGCTGCCCCTGCTCAGGTTTCGCACTGATCCCTCTTCTTTCATCTGCTGAAATGGATTCTTCCTTATTAGCTGGAACCTGCTCCTGCTCAGGGTGGGGCTCCCCAGGAACCAGTCCGGACATTGTGAAGACCCTGGTGGCCCCGAAACTCGCCCTCACGTGATGCCCTGAGAATGTGGCAGTGGAGTCTGCCTGGGGAAGGCCCTCACCCTCACTCCCTCCTCCAACACACTGAGCACTGCCCCAAGTGCCAGGAGACCGCAGTGCAGTGCTTTCTGGTGAGGACTGTGCTGCCGCCCAGGAGGAGGCCCTGAGCCCCCACAGGCGGGTTCAGGCTCACGGCTTCTGCCCGGAGCAAACTCTCACTGGAATCTGCTTCCCCGTTCCCTGCGAAAACAGGGAGCTCATTCTGCTCCTAAGAACTTTAGAAGCAATTTGTCATCTCAGATGTGCAGCTGGTCCCCAGCTTGGTAACAGGGCCCAGGAGTAAGAATCAGGGATTTACACACTTGTGTGAAGTTTATGTCCAAACAACACCTTTATGTCCACTAAATGTATCATTTTTGAGACTTACAAGTAGAAGTGGTTCACAGCAGGACTGGCAAAACCCATGGCTTTGTTGGTTAGGACTCAGTTATTTCTGTATCATTCCAGGTGTTGGAGATAGCCAGAGACATTATTTACTGGGTTGTGAAGTTCGGGTTGATTAGTGCTCAAGCTGGTCTTCGAAGCATGAATAAAACATGACGAAAGGAGCCCCTGTGTTCTCATAGCACAATGCTTCACGTACTCTGATAACTGTGTTTGATCAGTGTGTACTACTGATAGTTTGTACTTATCTGATGACAAAGCAGGAAGTATCTCTGGTAGTTCTTTCTCTCCTCCCTTCCGCCTTCCCTCCCTCCCTGCTCCCCCTTCATTCCATCATGTCTTGTATCTTTGGTACTGGGCACTGAATCCAGCACTTGGCCACAAGCCAATCCCTGGACCTTTTTTGTTGTTCAGTTGCCTAAGCTGTGCTTGAACTTGTAGTCCTTCAGCCTCAGTGTCCAGAGCGCTGAGGTTACAGGCCTGCACTGCCATGCTGGGCTCCATTTTACTTTATTCTATTGTACTTTACTTTTTCTCCCTTTATATTCTATTTATTTTACTTTATTTTGAGACTGGGTCTCACAGATTGCCTAGGCTGGCCTTGAATTTGCAATTTTCATGCCTCAGCCTCATGAGTAGCTGGATTACAGGGGTGAACCACCACACCAGGGTATTCCCTCTATTTGAACTTCCAGATACCGTGAAGGGACCTGAGGTTTCTGTGACTGCAAAGCCAGCATTCCAGGCGTTGGGAAGCATCCGTCTGGGGGCGATGTGAACCGGAACAGGATCATAGGTGACAGCACGCGGGTTTGTGAGGAGCACAGAGGAGGCGCTTGGGGACCTTGCTGAGAAGCCTCGGCTCCCCTGCTGGAATAAGCAGCTTTTCACCGCCCTCCCTGCACCCCAAGACCTAGCAGGGAAGTGGGTCCTTGCAGACAGAGGAAAGCAGAACTGTCCTTTGTTCTCCCTGTGACTGGGTTTCAGACCCTGGCTCGGTAGATGTGGTGCCTGACCAGATGTCCCTGCTGGCTGTGGGGCCCTCCATCCCCACCTCGGCTGTGGTCGCAAGCCCCACAGGTGTGGCAGAGGGGCCCCTGCCTAGTCTGTGGAGTGCCAGGCACACCAGGGACAAGGGAACTCTGCTACATCGAGGCTGCACTGCTCCAGTTAAAATTCTTGCCCGCCCCAGGCCAAGGAACCTCACCTGCCGGCCTGAGGCTGGGGCATAGGCAAACCTTGTCATTCCAATGCCACGACCCATTCTTCTCCCTGTACCACGCCACGCTGCACCGCACACAGTCCACGTTCCTGTCACCCTTGCTGGCCTCGCTGGTAGAGGGGACCTGGTTTCCCAGAGCGAGGCCAGGGAAACATCCATTCCTCCTCAGCTTTGTGCTTTATACCAACTCTGCAGAGCTCTTCCTCGGGCAGTTTACAGAGAACAGGAGGCATCTGCAGTGTGCCAGCACTGCCTGCTTTGCCAGACGCTGTAGTGTCTCCTCCACAGCCCCACCCTGCCTGTTTATAAATGAGGACGTCGAGGCATGGTGTTAAGTGACTTGCCCAAGGGGAGATTTGTTCAGTCATGAAGATGGGCTCGAACCTCCCACATCACATTCTGCTCTGAGAGGCAGGAAACACAGGCTCGAGGGGGAGAGCACTGAACTCCAGGTCAGACCCTCCTCCTGCTGATTTAATCCTGTCAGTTCCCGTTATGTCCCGTTGGAGGAGCTACCCCGAGTCCTTCCCCTGCTGATATTTTTATATGGACGCATTCCCTATGCAAGCCACTCCACGTCGCCCCAAGTGCGTGCCCCTGCCACACCCAGAGCGTGGCTCCCTTCCTCCCAGCGCGGCGGGGGGGGGGGGGGAGGGTGGCTGCTGCCTCTGGCCATGGCTCTCTGGGACCTTTGTGTGCTGGATTAGTTTGGGCTGGTGAGTGCTGCCCCCATACCCACTCGCCATGAATGTTTCATGCCACAGGCTGTGAGGCCGGCCTGGTCGTCGCCTGGTTTATATCTGTGGAACCCTCTTGAACATTTGCTGTGGTTTCTAACAGCTGGTGCTAGAAGCTCTGGGGACGGGAAGATCATGAATATTCAGGTGCAGCCACCAGAATGAACAGCCGTTAATAGAATAAATGCCTAAACAGTTGTGGGAGGCTTATTAAGACCTATTGGGGCCAAGATAATAAATTCCCACTCTGACATGTTGCAACCACTGTCGCTTAAGCACGCCGGACCACCTCTTGCAAACCAGAGGAGGGAAACCACGTAAGCACTCGGCGCAAACACAAAGGAACACCTGGGGCCTGGCAGGCCTGAGCACCGGCAGAGTTGCCCACACCGCATCCTTGGGAAGCGGCAGGCTGTGCATTGTTCCTGCCATCCAGGCCACGTCTGTCTGGGCCAGGCCGGAGCGGGCACTGCCCTGACCTGGGGGAGCCTGGCCCGCTCCCCAGTCTGAAGCCAGGTGGCACCGCACATGCACTTTCCCCCTCCACGCCACCATGCTGTGTTAGGGAGCAGGATGCTGATACGGATGTGGCGGGCATGGCAGGTGCTGCCTCCTTTGCCGTGAGTGCTTGGGTGGTGCTGGGCTGCACCTGGCTGCACAGCTGGCTCCTCCAGTACCAGCGTCAGCCGAGGATGGAGGCAGGGGCGAAGCCAGGCTGTGGCAGGCAGCACAGGGCGATCTGACCAGAAACCATGTCTGCCCAGACAAGCCTTTGATGGCTTGTAAAGGTGACTAACACGCCAGGTGGGAGGGCAGCACTGGCTTCTCCTTCGCTGTCAGGGCAGCCCAGCCCCAGCAGCCTGCTCACCAGCAAGGGCAACTGAGACACATGGTGAAGATTCAGATAAGAAACACCACAGTGAGAGACGAAGGATTCCCCTGGCCCCCTCACTTTATTCTTATCCCATCAACCTTGGCACTTTCTGCAGCAGCTCTGGTGTCCTCTTTCCTGAGGGTCTTTAGGAGGTGTGGTCCAAAATGTAGTGAAGGCTGCTGCCAAGCACCATCCAATGGAACGGCAGCTTATAAAAGCGTGATGCTGTGTTCCCATCCACCTTATTCACCAGATCTGGCACTATGTGACTACTGGCTCTTCCTCAAGGTCAAAATGACCAGGAAAGGTCAACACTGTCAGTTGATTCAGAGCATGGAGGGGGCCAGGACGGTGCAGCTAACGACACAAAGGAGGACTCCAGAGCTGCTGCAGGAACCCACAAGAACAACAGGATCAGTGTATTTGAAACTGGGGGAGGGCGAATGGCAATGTATCCTCTACTGCAATACATTTTAAAAGTTAAATATTCACTCTAGTTTTTGATCATGCTCCTATTTTCCTCCTTCTGCAGACACAGGGTGTGGGGTGTCCTACTAAAAGCTTGGAGTTAAAAGGATTTTGGGAGACACACAGCAAAAAATGCACAGATCTCGGTGTGGCTGGGGAGAAACTGAGATCTAGGTGACTCAGACCTGAGTCTGAATATTCTCTGTCACTCCAGGTCTGAGTGACCAAGGAGAGACACTGAGCTCATTCTTAGGCTTAATAACACATAAACACCTGGCCAAGGAACTGGCGCATGGTCACGGTTAGAGTGCTGGTATTCAGGCATGGATTCGTTCATTCATTCACAGTTGTGCATTCATTTCTTCCCTCTCCCTCGTACCAATGATGTCAAGGCTTTAAACGTTCCCTTTTGCAGAGATTCCTTTCTTTCTTACCCTGCCTCCGAGGTCCCCATGCTCTTCACAGGCTCATGAAGCAGCGTGGCAGGTGAAAGGGGAGTCTTAGGGGCCCTTTGCTCAGCCTTCTACCTGCTCCTCGCTATCAATTAGGAATGACCTGGTTATCAGCAGAAGAACCAAATCTGTTTTGGAGCCTTTTGTGTCATGGTCCAAGTTCCAGAGGAAAGAACAGATGGAATAAGTTAATTAGTCAAAACATGCTTGCCTGGAGGGCACTGGTTCCCAGCAGGGGTCAGAGGGCAAGGGAAGGCCCAGGTAGCAGAAGCGCCACAAGACAGCCTGGCCTGAGTGTGGGGTGAACACGTGATCTTTCTTTCCCACCCAGAAGGGGCCGGCAGTTACTGCTTTCCCCGGGGCAGGGCAGAGAGTAACTCTGAGAATCTGTCCAAACGGGAACTCTCTCTGAGGGTAGAGTCGGGGCTCGCTGTGTTCTGGGTGGAGCCCACCTGGCAGGGTCCCCACTGGCCAGTGGCAGGGCCGGGCCGCTTCCAAAGATCCGACAACGCCCCTTATCTCTTCCCCTCCCCCTTGGGGCTGGCAGTGATGTTGCCACTTTCCTAGGCCCTCTGTCTTGATGGTCGCCCGGGTTCTGATGGAGGAACCTGCTCTGGGTGGGGTCCCTGGGCAGACCACCCTGCTGTAGTAGAGGAAACTGGTCCCTGGGCTGGCACTGGAAGTGCGGCCTCCAGCTTCCTTTCCCCCTGAGGAAAGCGGGTGGGAGGCGGGGATGGGGGAGGCGGAGCTGCAGAGCCGTGCCTGTCTCAGCCGTGGACTCGGGGCTCCTGGGTGCATGGGGTGGCTGTGAGGGGAGCAGAGCCTCAAGTCCTCACGTGCAGTGGGGACTGCAGTGTGCCTGAGAGTGCGGGCTGCAGGGTTAGAGCACAGGCTGAGAGCCTGGGACGGAAGCCCGGGGCTGTTGCGCTCTTACTTTCCTCTGCTGGTTTCCAATTTTTGAAGGAAGTGGAGCTCAAGCAAATGCTTGGGTCTCCTGAGCGGGCAATGGGCAGGTGAAGAGGAGACTGGGGTGCAGGGCAGGGGCTTCAGAACCGGAAGTCTGTGGACAAGCAGGAGGTTCTGCTGCTCAGCGTGAGCAGAGAACTTCGTGTGTCTCCATGAGGATGCCTCTGGTCAGTTCCAGGCCTGCCTCCCTGCTCCTGGCGTGTGGCTGTGACCTCACTGATAACAAGCCCCGGGTAAGGGAGGCTTGGTGCCCGGGGCCGGTCCTCAGGGTACTCACACAGTCTGAGTGCGGGCCAGGAGCTCCACACCCTGGACACTGTCCCATATGGCCAGCAGCGGGCACTGGGGATGGACCCAGAGCCTTTGTCCCAGTGAGGTGAGCTTCGGGGTGTGCAGAGCAAAGGTAAGGGCCTCAAACTTGGGCCCCTCGGGTCTGA